CTCCTCCTCCTCCTCCTCCTACTACTACTACTACTACTCCTCCTCCTCCTCCTCCTCCTCCTCCTCCTCCTCCTCCTCCTCCTCCTCCTCCTGCTCCTCCTCAGTTAAAGAGGAGGCAGCATCACCGTCCTTGTCAGCCGCGGCAGCAGGGTCAAGGTAGGAAGGGTTGGGGACAAGCTCTTCTAGCTCCTCCTTGCACACATCCTCCAGCTACCAGCAATGTGAGAAGCATGAGTGCCTAGGCTCCCTAATCTCTCTAAGCTCTAAATGCAACTAAGTTAGATGAGTATTAGGTAGACTTACACCTAGTAATCTCATATTGTAAGTGTGTAAAATGATTACTTCTAGCTCGACTACGTTGTTTAAGCTTCAGTTCTAGGCCCTTAGTAAAGACTTCAGTTGTGCTGGTTTCTTTTCGTCATGCATAATCTAGCATCCGTTCCATCCTTTTCCTTTTCGTCGATTGCCTTATTACTCCCTCGTATTTGCATATTTTCGTTCATTTTCTTCTCATCTACGGTTTAGAGCCGTCCAATCCAGAAACTGACGTAGTGACGTTTTTAAAAGCCTACTTTTTATGTCAGCTTGTTCACTATCTTTAATGATATTCTTTTGTTCATTACCTCTTTTCCCACCCTTCCTTCCTCTTCTTCCTTCAAGCCACTGATGCTACTCCTGCTGCTCACTTCACTTAAGCCACTCACGCCACTCCAGCTCCATAGATAAGTGTTCCTATTCTTATACTCATCATATTGATCAGTAGTTGAAGTAGGAACCTTTCATCATCTGTTATCATCATCTGTTTTTCCGTTTTGTTTTATGAGTAGGATCTAGGCTAACCTTTCTTATTAACGTATCCTAGTCGTTTACATTTCTCTTGGTTGTTTTAAGGGACGCAAGTTGTAAAGATTCTAGCTTATTGTTTTTAAGGTTCATAAGAATGCATCCGTTCCTACTGCTCTTTACCCTCTCTTTCCTCTCTTGCATCCTTAGTACCTTCTACTATATTTTCATACTTTCTTTGACTTTACAATACCACGCTGACTCTGCAATGAAAGCAGCATATTGTTAGGGCGGAGGGCGTCCTGACAAAGTTCGCAAAAAAATCGGGACTATGCATAGATGTGGAGAAAACAGTCGTCTTACCACTCGGCCGGAATCGCGGGTACAAGGCGCCGGCGAGCAGTACCTTCAAGTGGGCGGAACCAGACGACACGGAGAGGTTGCTGGGCGTATGGGTAACCCCAGACCGAAGCGGACTCCCCACCTGGGAGAAGGCACTAGAGGAGATCGCAAAAAGGCTGGTGAAATGGAGGCAAAAATACCTCACAGAGAAAGCAAGGGGAGCGGTGGCGACTTTTAGCCGATCATGACCTTCCAGGCGCAAATTTACCCGCCACCTGCGAAGGTCTAGGGGGAGTTGGAGAGAATGTTTCACAACTTTGTCTCGGGGAACAAAGCAACATCGACACAGGGTTTCTTCCTCTGGAGCAAGGAGTTGTTGTACACCCCCCGAAGTGAAGGCGGCCTGGGAGTAAGGGACCCAAGCATCACTCTCGCATGTCTGGCTGCGAGGAGGGTTGGGCTGATGATGACAGAGACGAATCGGCTGAAACAGAAACTGATGATTCAAGAGGCAGATCTTCCGCTGGGGCTGGACACCTTCGTGTCGCATGACCGCTTCCTGCGACACTGGGAAGGGAGAAGTCAGAGGTGGAAGCTGACTTGTAAAAGTTTTATGAAGTCGCCGCTATGCATCAAAACAGTTAACGTGACGCGGGGGCAATTGCGGAGGAGAGGCTGGTGTTCAACAGAGCGATTATGGTCGGAGTAGGCACACCTGTGGGAGGACAAAAGGACGCCGAACCGCTCTGGAATTTTCGGCTGGGGGATATGGTGAAGCGACTGCAGGACGGTAGCTGGTCGCTGAAAACCATGGAGGAGCTCACAGCGAGACTGGGATGTAAAGGGCCGGCTAGACTTGCGCTAAAGGGTTTCGCAGCTGCGCCTGAGGAATGGAGGACCTGCTTGCTGACCCCTGTTGCAAGCTCGGCTGGCTTAGCTCCGAGGGATTGGAGAAGACTCCCGCAGCTGCCAATCTTGAGAGACAGGGGGGGTAGTTCCGCTCAAGGAGATGAGGAGTCACTAGAAGGGGGTGCGCGGGCAGTCATACAGGATGTTGAGATGGGCCGGCAAGTGGAAAGGCTCTATGAACTGGAAGCTAATCACTGGCATCAGAGAATCTCTCGCCATACCCAATCGACCAAGAGACATGCTGACACGGGTGTACAATTTCAACCTACAAGTAGGGGAGAGGTTGGCTTTCTTGGCAGACAAACCAGCGTGCCCACACTGCGGAGATGAGGAGACACTGGAGCATTGTCTCTTCACCTGCCCGAGAATCCAGACGGGTGGTGTCGGCGCTGAAGAAATCGCTCCGCCTCATCAACCTGCTCCGCGAAACAGAGTCCCTGAGGGATCTGTTATTCCGCAAGGCTGGTTCGGGCACAGCCTTTCCAAAGGCATTGATCGCAATTACGCTGCACCAACTCTGGCTGGAGAGATGTGAGGCGGTCTTCCGGGGGAAAAGGTTTCGTGAGTGGAAAGTGCTGAGGAGGATCATTTTCGCCTTCCGACAGCATGCACGGGTCTACGTGAAGGCTCGCCTCTCCACGATGCAAAAAAAGAAGAACACTGCGCGGTCTGGCAAGCTTCAAAAGGAATTACTGGAGGAGCACCGTCTACTGAGTAGGATAAGGAAAGCTGGTGACAAGAAGTGGACCTGGACAAGATAATTTGAGTCCATCTGGTCCAATCCTAAGACAGTTTACAACCCGCCGTAGACACCTGCTGGGCAGGTCGTCCCTAGGGTCTGAGGGGTATCTGATGCATCAGACGGGTCCTCCGGGCAAAAAAAAAGTTTTGTCTGATGCGGACTGGCTCATCAGATTAATCCAAAAAAACATGTCTAATTATAAGCCAAACAGACAAAAATTGTCTGCTAGCGACGACCCTGCTGCTGGGGCAGACGGCCTTGCCCTTGCTTGAAGCGGTTACGACCGATATTGTTTGTATGCATCAACTACACCGTGTATACTTACAATAATATATATATATAGATATATAGATATATATTCATGGACTTTCTTACTTCATTAACCCCTTTCAACATTCCTCATTTTCTCTCACCTCATTTATCAGCTTCTTTGAATTGGAATCTATTGCACGTTTCCTTCCTTTATTATTGCTTCTATTTCGCGTTGTTTAGTTCCTGAATCGTTCACTTATGCGTTCCATCATTGTCTGATTGAAATTGTTGTTTTTCCCTAGTTTTTTTTTTTTTTTTTTTTTTTTTTACCGTAGTTGCATAAATTTGTTGTTTCATTCTTCGTTCTGATCCTTGCCTTGACTGCATGCTGTTCTGTAACAAATGTCAAACCTTTGCCTTCCCTTCTGGGTATTCGTCACAGTCTTTTTTTTTTTTCCCAGTTCCTTCTTTCACCATGTCAATTTGCATCAATACTCTTTTTTGTTCCTCTTTTGTTTTTCTCTATTTTGTACTTCTCAGATAATCTGCTGTTTCATTGAAACGACCAAGTATGATTTGGAAATGGAAAGAGACTCCTGTTGATTTTTCGGGCCCATAGTTTTTATTGAAGATTTCCATTTGCATATCTTCTGTTTGGTGTATTGAGCTTCTTTTGTTTCCGTAAATGTGTATGATCTCGCGTGTAGTATGTGTTTGCATGCGTGTGTGTGCATATGTGTGCGTGGTGTACGAGTGTATGTTCATGCATATACATTGCAATAACAATGAATGTCTGTGAGTTTTAAAAAGAGGATCCAGATTTAAAACTAAAAGGGGGGGGGGGGGGGGGGGGGGGGGGGGGGGGGAGGGAGGGTCACTCTTTTAAAACTTCACCAACAAGTTATCCTCTCAAGACCATTCAAGCTTAGATCAAGGCCTGTTTAAACGTTGGCCTGATTAGCTAGATTTTTAAAGCCTTGCAACTTTGATTTATATATATTAGGAGAAACTTCATTGACACACGGTTGCCCTTTCTTATAAGGGCCTTGGTTGTATTACGTGCCACGCGTTTCTGACACGGACAACCTTCCTTCGGGGGCGAGTGTAAGGAAGCGAGTCAGGGGTGACCCGCCGTGCTCACACATTTCTTCGCGTCTCCTGGGGTCGGCTCTAGCGTCTGGGACCTGTCGACACCACAGCGCAACAGCGAAGAAGGCCGCAGACGGCGAAGAAGGCCTTAGACGGCAGATTCCGCCTCTACGCCGTCTCTCCCTTTTCCCCACACCCCCATCTCCGCATGCTGCCTCACCGTGTGCGCGTGAGGGACTTCGCGGCGGCGCGCTCGTCGGAGTTCGCCGCCCTCTACGCCGCGCTCGACCGGCCGCGCGCGCCAACAGTCGGCGCTGCCGCCAGTGCGCCTGGGGCCGACCGACGCGACCAGCGGAACGGCCGAGCGGATAGTGCGGCGGAAGATGCGGCGGACTGCGGCGGAGGAGGAGGAGACGAGGGGCGTCGCGTGGTGGGGCGGCGCGAGTGGGGCGCGCGACGGCGGCGCGATCGAGTGGCCGTGAGGCACGGCACGCCGCGGCACCTGATTCGACGGACCAGCAGCTTCGTGCGGCGCGGGGGAACCAGAAAGAGCGGCGCGGGCGGAACGAGGGGGGCGGGCAGTGCTCGTGGGGGACGCGGAGGGCGCGGAGGCTTGGCGCGGCAGGTCCGCCGAAAGCGCGTCAAGGTGGCGGCGCTGGAGGGCCTTGCGGACAGGGGGACGCGGGGGAAGGGGGAGGATAAGGGCGCGGAGGCGCGGAGTGGTGCGGAAGAGTGGGAGGAAGGGGAGGCAGAGGAGGAAGTAGAGGCGTGCAGGCGAGTGCGCCGATGGGCGCAGGCGAAGCAAGTGAAGCAGGGAGGGGGGGGAGGGCGGGCGTGGAAGGAGGGGGCGGGGCATGGGGGGGTGAGGCGGCTGGCGAGTCACATGTGGCATGCGAAGCGATTCCACATGGCAGACACGTGGGGGTACAGACTGGCAGCACGGCTGCATGGCAGGTGCGTGTGCATGGCAGGTGCGCGTGCATGGCAGGTGCGCGTGCATGGCAGGTGCGCGTGCATGGCAGGTGCGCGTGCATGGCAGGTGCGCGTGCATGGCAGGTGCGCGTGCATGGCAGGTGCGCGTGCATGGCAGGTGCGCGTGCATGGCAGGTGCGCGTGCATGGCAGGTGCGCGTGCATGGCAGGTGCGCGTGCATGGCAGGTGCGCGTGCATGGCAGGTGCGCGTGCATGGCAGGTGCGCGTGCATGGCAGGTGCGCGTGCATGGCAGGTGCGCGTGCATGGCAGGTGCGCGTGCATGGCAGGTGCGCGTGCATGGCAGGTGCGCGTGCATGGCAGGTGCGCGTGCATGGCAGGTGCGCGTGCATGGCAGGTGCGCGTGCATGGCAGGTGCGCGTGCATGGCAGGTGCGCGTGCATGGCAGGTGCGCGTGCATGGCAGGTGCGCGTGCATGGCAGGTGCGCGTGCATGGCAGGTGCGCGTGCATGGCAGGTGCGCATGCATGGCAGGTGCGCGTGCATGGCAGGTGCGCGTGCATGGCAGGTGCGCGTGCATGGCAGGTGCGCGTGCATGGCAGGTGCGCGTGCATGGCAGGTGCGCGTGCATGGCAGGTGCGCGTGCATGGCAGGTGCGCGTGCATGGCAGGTGCGCGTGCATGGCAGGTGCGCGTGCATGGCAGGTGCGCGTGCATGGCAGGTGCGCGTGCATGGCAGGTGCGCGTGCATGGCAGGTGCGCGTGCATGGTGAGGCAGCAGCGAGAAAACGGCATGCCCTGTGATCACTCGCACCACTGGTCCATCCCTCGTCCCTTCCCCTCGTCACCCACTTTCTTGTTCTCCCCCTCCCTCTCGCCGCACACCCCGTCACCACTGCATGTGCAGGGGCCGTGGCAGCCGGGCAGTGGTGGAGGCAGCAGGCAGGGCGGCCGTGTTGCACGACGCGTCCTACCACTCCGCCATCCAGCTCACTGGCGCGCAGGTCGCCTGCCCTCTGCGCATCCCTGCCTTGATGCCGCTGCTCTCTTTGCTTCCATCCCACTTGTTGTTCTGTTACTCTGTCTCTATTACCCTCTCACGTTTTCAGTCATCCTCCGACCATATGCCCCTGTCTGCTCCGTTCAGTGCATGCGCCTCTCAATGCCATTTCCATGTTCCGATGCTCTTTGTTTTCCATTCTCGTACTCCGCCTATCCCTCCCCCCACCCACTCTCCCTCCGTCCGCTTTTTCCTCTCCCACACCCTCTCGCATCTACCCACCACCTTCCCTCTCTTTCCCCCCCAAGGCGGACATCTGCGCTCTGCTCGCGCGCTGCACTCCCCCGGGTGCGCTTCCCCTCGCCCCTCGCCTTCCGCCTGCCACCCCCCACACGCCACATGCGGCACGCACAGGCAGGGGTGCTGGGGCGAGGAGCGAGGCAGCATGGGGGGAGGCGGCAGAGGGGGAGGCATGGAGGCGGGGAGTGTTGGAGCTGAGAGCCATGGTGAGCGAGTGGAGCTGAGAGCCATGGTGAGCGAGTGGAGCACGTGTGGTGGGCGGGAGGGGCACGTGTGGCGAGAGTGGCACTGCCATGGCGGCTATCTCTACTGCTCTCATTGCATTGCTGTGCTCGCTTCTGCATGTTCCACCTTGCGTTCTTTCTGTGCCTTTGACATCACAACTGGCTGGGCAGCATGCCCCATCCTCCACCTGCCAACCATCCAAGCGTCACCATCATCCTCCCATCCCGCTCCTCCTCCCTCCTCCACAGCCTCACCCCTCCCCCCATTTCCCCTGCCTCTCGTCTCCACTGTCTCCCCTTCCCCCCATCCGATCAGCTCTGCTCCGCCGCGAGTGATACCAGCAGCAGCGACGTGATTGGTCCGGCCAGTTTCATGTGGCAGCCAGTGGCGTGTGCAGGCGGGGCGGCAGTGCAAGGGAGTGGTAATGGTGGTGGTGGTGATGCACCCTTAGGTGCTGGCGTTGGTGCTGCCAGCAGTGGGTGTGGTGGGAGAGAGGGAGGCGGTGGGGAGGTGAAGGGAGGGCAGAAGGCGGGGATGGGGTGGAAGCAGTGGAGGAGGGAGAGGCAGGGGCGGCGCAAGCAGGAGCAGCGGCGGCAGAGGCGCGTGTGGGTGTGGGTGCACGCGCTCATGCTGCCCGACGCCCTCGCCGCCCTCACCGCTGCCAGTCAGCCTGTATTCCTTCACGGTTCTCCACCCATACAGAGCCAGGAGAGTGGCAGCGAGCAGAAGGGCACAAGGCGGAGGCGGGTGAGTGTGGAGAGTCGTGAGGGCGAGTTGTGTCGCCTAGAGGTGGCGGGGCGAACGGCCCTCCCCCTGCTGCTCTCCGTGCTGCGCCCCTCCGCCCCTTGGGACACCCTCTCCCCCGCGCTGCTGCCGCCACCCTTCCCTGCTGCTGCTGCCCCTGCCGCCTCTGCCTCCCCTGCTGCTCCCGCCTCTGCTTCGCCTGCTGGCCACTCTGACTCGTCCGCTGCAGCATCACTTCGCCTGCAGCAGTCGGAAGCATCCTGGAAGGTGCTGGCGGAGCACGGGGCGGACCTCCCTGGAGGGGCCGTGGTGGGGTTCAGAGCCCTGGACGCGCGGCTGCTGCCGGGCAGTGGCACGGAGGCTGCTGGGGGTGCTGGAAGCGTTGCTGTGGCACACAGGGGTGGTCTCTGTTTTGATTGGTGCAGAGATGTGGCAGGATCCGTTGATGGGGGTGCCATTGCCGCTGCTCCCGGCCTGTCGGTTCCGAGGGAGCCACGGAGGGCAGGACGCTGCAGGGGGGGCGATGAGGCAGGCGGGGAGAAGGGGAATGGGTCAGGCGAGGAAAGTGCGGAGATGCGTGATGAGTGGGAGGGCGAGGAGGAGATGATGGGCGATGGTGGAGATGAGAGGGCGGAGAGGCGTGAAAGGGTGGGAGGGCAGGGAGGAGGCGCGGCAGGCACACCAGCCATGGCTGGTGGTGCCCGCGCTGCTCTCCCTCCCCCCCAGCACCTGCTGGATGCCTGGCGGCGCGCTGTCAAGCTGCAGGGGCTCATGGGGGCGCGCGAGGCACGGCGCATGGGGGAGAGCGTGGCCGGGCAGTGGGCACAGTGGCAGGCGAGCGGGGGGGAGAGGGGGGGTGGTGGTGAGGGGCGTGGAGGGGGAGGTGGGGCGTGTGGAGGAGACGCGCAGGGAGGATTGTTGTGTGGGGAGCAGCCGGGGTGCGATGTGGTGGTGGTGAAGCATGGGTGCGGTGCCATGCAGGGTGCTGGCGTGACCAGGTGAGGTCAGGCGCGCTCATGCTGCTGCTGGTCCCCCGTTAGTGGGGAAATGAATTGTTGAAGGATGGTAAACAACTTGCAGAATGGGGTAGAAAAGTGGAAGGGGAAAGTGAAGGGGGGAAGGAGATGCACAGTTGTGGGACTTGGGATGCATGCGGTGGTGTGCAGTTTGGATTCTTCATGCCCTCGTCTCCAACCTCTTATCCAGTATCCCCTCTCCCCCGCCCCTCTTTCTGACTCTTTCTCTCTCACATCACAGGTGGTCGATCATCCTGCCATCTGATTGGCTGCAGGCGTGCTGGCACCCCTTCATCCTGCGTGGCGCGCATGCCATCGGCCTTGCCGAGAGGCACACGCTCTTCACAGCGGCAAGTCACCCATTCTTCCTCTTTGTCCCCTGCTCTGCCTCCCCACTTCTCTTTGTTTCAGCATCCTTTGTTGTGAGTCTGCTGCTATCTCTTGTCCGGTCGCCACTGTCCACTTGCCCCACCACACCCCACTCATCGCTGCTCTGTCTCTATATTTTTTTGACGCTCTTTCTGGCCCTCTAATCCCCTTCCTTCCCTTCCCCCCGCGCTCCACATTTTCCTCCACTCTTGGTCCTCCCTTGTGCAGGCGGGTCTGCCTCTCTTTCCTTACGACTACCCTGAGACCTTCTCCTACAGGTGCCACGTGGCAGCCTCCTATTTGCTGCAGCGCGCCCGCTACGACCGCACGCCGCCCTCCAAGCGGCCTCTGTGTCCCCCCCTGGCGCCTGCCTGGGCCGCCGCTTGTGGTGCTCGGGGAGGGGTCGGGGGGGGAGGAGAGAGCGGGGGAGGCGGAGGGGATGGGGGAGAGGAGGGTGGAGGGGAGGCAGAGGCACCATGTGATGTTGACCTGAGGGTGGCCCGCTGCCCTGCTGCCGTGCTCTCCGCCTTGCTGCCTGCTGTGCTGCACGATGGGTGTCGTGGTGGTGGTGGGGATGGTGGTGGCGGTGAGGGCGCGCGCAGCATGGCAGTACGATGGGAGGGTCACGGCACAGGGAAGAGCGGGAGGGGGCAGGCAGGGCAGGCGGGCAGCGGGGAATGCGAGAGGGTGGTGAGAGGGGTGGGCGGGGCGCAAGGTTCACGGGTGAGTGTGGAGTGGAGGCGAGTGGGGGAGAGGGAGAGAGGGCCGGGCGCATGGCAGGAGAGAGGTGCTGGTGGTGCTGGTGGGGGGTGTGGGGCGGAAGGGCAGGGAGGGTGGAGCGTGAGTATGATGGATGTGGACTCGCCTGCACCATGCCCTCCACTGCCCCTCCATGGTCTCTCAAGCAGTGCAGCGCCACAGCATGAGCAGCAGGGGAGGTGCATGGTGGCGGTGCGAGTGGTGCCGGCGGGCAGGGGGGCAGCGCAGGCAGCAGCAGAGCTGTGTGTGCCGTCGCCTCACGACTTCCACCGCTTCTGCTCGCGACTCACTGGGGCTGCTGTGCTTGGGTGGGTGCTTGCTTGCTTGTGTGTCACGTGTGCTTATCCATGCATGATTAGAAATGTGCCACGTGTGCATGTCCATGCATGATGAGAACCATGTGTGCATGTCCATGCATGATGAGAACCATGTGTGCATGTCCTGCATGGTTGCACCATGTCCGTGCACTCCCTGCCACTCAAATCTGCTCCTCTCTATCACCTTCTTCGGATCTGCCTTCACCCTTCACTCACCTCGTGCCACACCCTCCCCCAGGCCCAATTCTCGCTCTTGCCCTTTCCCTTCCAACCACCGCCTCTGCCCATCTACCCTGGCAGCGCCCGTGCCTCTGCCTGGCGTGGAGTTGTCCTCCCTCCCTCCCTCCTCCGCACCAGGCTCGGCTCCGTACCTGGTGCCGTGGCTCGGAAGACAAAGCGGCAGCTGCGGAAGCAGAAGCAGCGGGAGAGGAGGCGAGGCACAGAGGAGCAGCAGTATGTGGCGAGCTTGAGGGGGAGGGCGGGGCTGCAGAGGAGGGGGGGTGAGGGGGCGAGGGAAGAGAGCCAAGGGCGTGGAGGGGCACGGCCGGGGGCGGTGGAGAAGGGGGTTCGGGAAGTGGTTGGGTTTGTGACGAGTGCTGCACCACGAGGCAGGTGAGGCTATCTGGACAGGGGGGGGCATGATTGAGGAAGCTCGGTGTGTTGAAGGGGTGGAAGAGTGGGTGGAGGGAGTTTATGCAAGGGTTGAGCAAGAGAGGGTAACAGTGCAATGTGAAGGACGGTTATAAGTGGCAGAGCGTAACTCTTTTGTATGCCCCCCCTTTTCCCCCCACCCACCTTCCAACTTTTTTCCCAACCCGGATTGTACGGCGTGGAGCAGCAAGAGCCGGGTGTCACTGGGGTGTGTGCGCGCATCAGCCCTGCATGCAGCCGCATGCCGGCAGTACTCCTCCTCCATCCCCTCCCTCTCCACCATCCCCTCCCTCTCCACCTCACCCTCCTCCACGCTGCTTCCTTCTCTTCGTGTGCTGCTGCTCATGCGCTGCCCTGCCTCCTCTGCCTACCGCCCCGTGCTCGTCTCACTCGCTACGGAAGACTCGGGACACCTGGCAAGCACTGGTTGGTCGTGAGAATGGCATCATATCTGAGGGTAAAACACCCTGAAACCCCTGATACATAAAGCGTAGGTTGGTGCCGTTCCCTGAGACATCAAGGCATTGTTGTGCATACTCTGTAATTTCAGATGTGCCGTATTGTATACACCCTGTATTTTAGAGTGTCTTGCTTGCTACAGCTCTTTCCCGCAAGCAGCCATGTGACACCATACTCGCGTTGGCATTGGACTTTTGTATTTGAACCTAACAGTAGCAAGCAGATGAATTGCTACCCAAGCTACGTACAAGTGGCACGGAAGAAGGGAGCTCAGCATGAAGCTGCCAAACGCCTGAGACTTCAGTGTGATCTTAGCCCCTACTTCTTTGGAAGCTACACTATATATTGTTGTACAGTTCAGGGTTTCCCCTTGTTAGAAACAATTAATTCTAAGCGCCTCTGTCGTGTCGAAACACTAAGGCACAATCGAAGCGAAGCATATCGAAGCACCGGCGAGTCAACCCTCGGAGGTTGAGAGGTTGCTGGAGGTTATGCGAAAGTCAAAGGTCAGCGACCTTTGACCTGACAAGTACAGCGCGACAGCAAGGACACACAACTGACTCGCTACAGAGCAGTTGCCCGAGTTGTCACTGTATCGAACCCGCAACAGCACCAGTAAAGCAGTTATAACTATTGTGGAGAATGATGTGAATTAGGTCATGGTTGGGGTACATAGCAAAAGTGTCGAGATGATTTCTGTACCCCCTAAGGCTAGCCCCAATATAGCCTAGATAGCAACATGCATATGTTTTGACACACCCCCATAGGCAAGATGGGGGATAGCCAGAGCAAGCAATGGTCACAAGACCAGTCAAGAGAAGAAAAAAAACACAGCTCAGGGTGGATCACAAAGTCACCACACACACTGAGCACAAGCAAGAGGCCACAAGGCCAGTTCACATGCAGAGTTATAAAAGCACAAGCAATACAGTGATCACAACCTAGCAGGTGTAAACATGCAGGTATATATATAAGTCACAGTACAAGCAAGGTCAAGAAGTGAGCAAGTGAGGCCAAGTGGGCACAAGACCTAGCATCGTACAGAAGCGCTGATGATCACAAGGCGGAAGTGCCTTGGTGAAGATATCAGCAGTGTTGGCCCGAGTGGCCACGTAAGCAAGGCGCAGCTGACCACGCTGCTGCAGCTCACGAGCAAGGAAGTAGCGAAGAGCAATGTGCTTCGTTCTGTGCTCCCGACACAAGGCCAGCATGGCCTTGTTGTCTACGTACAGAACTGGAGGAGAACGAGGCGGCTCTCCCAGGTCAGTCAGCAGATAGGTGAGCCAGCGTAACTCCTATGCAGCCATGGCTCCTGCGTAGATCTCAGCCTCACAGCTAGAGCTGAGAACAGACGACGAGCGGGTAGACCGCCACGAAACAGAGCCGGAACCAAGGCTGAAGGTGTAACCCTGTGACGACCGCTGCGTAGCCAGGTCGTCAACCCAAGACGCGTCTGCGTGACCAGTGAGGACCACTGGACTTTGCCCTCCAAGCACTAGTCCCATGCCCGACGTACTGCACAAGTAGCGCAACACCCTCTTCGCTGCAGCCATGTGCTCTGGTCGGTGTCTCCCAGGAGCAACATAGCGTGCCAAGATGCTAAGAGGGTATGCAAGGTCAGGTCGCGTGCAGGTCATCAGGTACATGAGGCAGCCAACAAGCTCTGGGTACGGGCCACTCGGCTCTACGGACTCATCCGAAGGCAGAGCTGAGAGCGAGTGGCGAGTAGACAGAGGAGTGGCCTGAGGCGAGGAGTACGTGAAGTCGAAGCGCTGAAGGACCTGCTGTCGGAATCAACAGACAGGAATGATTGAACTAGCAGTGAAATCAGTACAAGTACCTAACCCTAGAATTGTGTACCCCCTATAGGCTAACCCACTGTAGCCTAAACAAACACAACATATATAATGTTTGACACCTGCTGCACCATGTGTGACTGAGTCAGGGTAATGGTGCGCCGTGCTCTGTCCCGGGTGATCTGCAAGCCAAGATAGCTGCGCAGTTCACCCAGGTCTGTGCACGTGTGTCGCTTCTGCAGCTCGGACTTCACGTAGGCGAGTCCAGCAGTGTCAGCTGTAGCAAAGACCAAGTCGTCGACGTACACGACGATGTAGAACGGCGGCAAAGAGGTGTCGGTGCGTAGAAACAGCGACGGGTCTGCAGTAGAAGGAGCAAACCCAAGAGCCGCAAGCGTAGTCCTCAGTGTGTCGTGCCACTCACGGGGCGCCTGGCGGAGACCGTAGACTGGCCGCCGGAGGCTCCACTGGGTACCAGGAGGGAACGACCAAGTGAAGCCAGGTGGGCGACGCAGCCAGATCTCCTCGTGCAGGCTGCCTTGTAGGAAAGCTGTGCTGAAGTCCAGAGAGTGAAGCTCGTAGTCACGGTGAGCGGCTATGTGTAGCAGCACCCGAAGAGTGGTCATCTTCGGGGTGGGAGAGAAGGTCTGAAAGTAGTCAACTCCCTGCCGCTGACTGAAGCCTCGAGCCACGTAACGCGCCTTAAAGACAGGCGGAGAACCCGGCGGCCGCTTCACCCTGAAAATCCACATGCCACTGACGATGTTCGCCCCAGGTGGGGGAACCTCGTCGACGTAGGTGCCTGTGGACTTCCAGGAAGCCATCTCTGCGTCCATGGCTGCCTGCCACTGAGAGGAGTAGGGACCCTCTATCGCCTCCGCGTAAGAGCGCGGAGTCGGGATGTCTGGTGCATCTGGGTCTCCCTCAGGGGCAAGCAGCGAGGACACAAGATGAGGTAAAGCAGCAGCAAGACACTGGAACTCCTCCTGCCTGTCCTCAAGGACGTCCGTGCTAAGAGCACACTCACCCCCGACGGACGGAGGACAGACAGACTCAGACTCAGCAACAAGACTAGCGGCGTAGTCTAGACGACAGGCAGCAGCGAAGTCAACAAGCTCAGCAACCAAGGCAGACGCAGCAGTAGACTCAAACGACGGGTCAGTGACAACAGTGGCTAACGAACGCGTAACAGTAGGGTGCTCAGCACGAAACCGGTCAGACGCAGGGTCCGGAACGGCAGGCAGAGAGGACGCAGGGGGAGAAGGCAGAGGAGCAGACTGCGGAGCAGAGGAAGGACGACGGACCACAAGGTGCGTGCTGGGTACAGCCGGCTGACGCGCACGAGCGACAGGACGACCGGTACGACCAGAATGAACAGGCGAGACAGGACGCGACGCAGGCTCACGACGCTCAGCAGGACTACCTGCCTGCTCAGTGTAAGGAGAGGGAGCAGGCAGCGGTGAGCCAGGCTGTAACGGAAGACCAGTAGACGACGGGAGAGTAAGAACCTGACGAAGAGCAGAGTCAGGCGGCGGCAGAGACGACGGAGACGGCGGAGCGAAGAACAGTCGTGTCGGCGCAGCTGCACCAGCACCGGCAGCTCCAGCAGCTCCAGCACCTCCAGCAGCTCCAGCGCCTCCAGCGGCTCCAGTAACTCCAGTAGCTCCAGTGCCTCCAGTAACGCCAGCAGCTCCAGTGCCCCAAGCAGCTCCCGCAGCTCCAGCCTCAGAACCGGTACCTCCAGCGCCAGTACTACCAGAACCAGCGTCACCAGCGTCAGCACCCCCAGAACCGGCACCTCCAGCCCCAGGGTCTCCAGCCGCAAAGTCTCCCGCAGTAGCACCCCCAGAACCAGCACCTCCGGTCCCAGGGTCGCCAGCCTCAGTGTCTCCAGCAACGGCACCTCCAGGCGCAGCACCCCCAGCCCCAACAGCTCCAGTACCTCCAGCAGCAGAGCCCCGAGCTCCAGCAGCGCGACGCTGACGGCGACCGTACCAGTCGTGCAGCTGCTGAGTGGTGAGAGGCACACGCGGACGAAGGCGGCCACTCCAAGTAGGCCGCGCACCAGCAGTCCCAGTACCCTCAAGCGTCTCACCTCCAGACTCAGCACCCCCAGACTCCGCACACACAGGCTCAGCACCCCCAGACACAGCACCCCCAGGCGCAGGAACACCAGTCTCCTCACACGCAGGCTCAGCACCCCCAGACTCCGCACCCCCAGACGCAGCACCTCCAGGAGCACCACCCCCAACAGCACCAGAGTCAACAGGAACCGGCAGCAGAGGCAGAACAGGAAAGTCCGAGCCGAAACTCTTCCTGAGCTGGAGACGAGCAGCGCGGATCCAGTCGATCAACACCTCAGTGACCTCATCCTTGCGGCGCAAGGGGAAGACTGCGGTGTAACGCGAGTAGTCGTCAACTACCAGCAGGAAGTAGCGCTCGTGACCCTGTCCACGGACGCGGGCAGGGCCCCACACGTCCATGTGAAGAGTCTGCAGCGGAGCCTCTGTCGGCGGAAACTCAGAGGAGTGAGGAGCGGCGCGCTGCCGCCCCTCGACGCAGGGAACGCAGGTAGGGGCAGGCCCCGGAGGGAGGGGAGGGAGGGACCGGGGGAGACCAGAGACAAGGACACGAGAGGCCATGCCTCGGAGACGAGGCAGGGAGGGGTGACCAAGACGGTGGTGCCAGAGAAGAGTCTCGTGGGACAGGAGGCGACACGAGCAGGGGGCAGACTCAGGACCAGACCGAGACGCTGCAGCAAACACCTGACCCGACGCAGCTACCTGATCAGGAACAGCAACCGGAGGAGACTCAGTAGTGAGTGTGTACAGGCTCGACCCCGGCCGACGAGTAAACGTGGCCAAGTGTCGGCCCGTGTCAGCACACGTGCAGTGAGTCACCCGCTGACGCGCAGGAGTGAACTGGTCAACTCCCCCATCCTGTAGGTCAGCACCCGCCACCAAGTTCGTAGAGAACGAGGGGAGGTAAAGACCGGACAGGGAGCCAGACGGGACCGCTGGACACGGCAGGACAGTGGAGTAGTGAGCAAGGACAGGACCCCCAGAGGGGTCTGCCAGGGAGACCGCAACCGGCCGACTGAGCGGCGTGAGAGTGGTGCGGTCTCGAAAGAAGGAGCGGGAAGCACCCGAGTCAAGGGTGAAAGTGTGCGACGCCGGAGCAGA